TATATGCAATATATTACAAAATATGTGATTTCGCAAGCGTAAAGAAGAACATGAACGATTGTTTTGAGCCTTCTTCAGATTGCCACGAGTCTTCAAGTTTTCTCCGACGGCTTACTGCCACTATTATTTCGTGCGCCTCCGTGACTACTCATTGAAACGGTCGATCCTACTGCTGAGAAAAGAATATACACCCGATTCAGACACACACGGATTAATATTTATATTTAGTTAAAAAAATTGAAAGTTGTTTGCCGCAATGTTTGTCAACAGATCCCCCACCAAAACGGCGCCTATCGGCCAATGGGGTTTGTTTTTTCCAGTTTGGCCAGCACACCTGTCTTATGCGAGCCATGTACTAAATAAAGTATTTATTTTTCCATGACATCATACAGAAAGCGCGCCCTTTATAAAACCACCTTTTATAGAACGGAAAGAAAGTGTTTATATATATAAATGTAAAACCCAAGAGACCTGAGAACACTCGGTAAAACCCTAAAAATGATACACACACGAAAGTCGAAAGTGTAAATAATTTATTTTTTTGAAACAATATGTACTGTATGTTCTGTAAAAATGCATATTTAAATACATACTACAGTTATTCACAGCTACTTAAAAGTAGACCATGCACAGATCCCACACATTCATACCAGTAATGGGTGCATGTAACGTGTATATTTATGTGTGTACATCTATATAGGCACACAAAGGCTGTGTTAAGGCATCCAACTGTCGATACATCCACATTTCTCGACTTGCCTTGTGCGATTACAGCTTGAGTACATGGAGGCGGTCGCATGTGGTGAGAGGCACGGATATTGAAACAAGAAGCATGCATATGCAAAAAGTGAATTTCCGCACTCTACACCTGTACACACGCAGTATTAGAACTAACATATGTAACCCCTAAAACACCCAACCGCTATACACACCTCAAATCAAGCTAATAACTTAGTACTGGCGCATTCATAGGCTCATATACCAAGACTCCCGAAACCTTTGCACGACCATCATGTCGTCGTCATCCGGTGCGGTGGCTGCAAGTGCCTCCAGTGATCGAGAAATGCGCACTATCTACACCTTTTTGATCCGTCAACCACAGATGGTGTTGAGTAGCCTATACGAGCACTCGCTGTCATGCTTGGCTGTGTTCCGCACACTCTCACCCGTGGGAAGGCATTATGTCATGCGATTGTTGTACACGAAGGACCCTATTGAACTCAGCGATATTGAAGTCTGGTGCACTGATCGGACTTTACACAGGTGAACTTTACAGCTGATATAAGCTTGTTGGTATATATATATATGTATGTATGTATGTATGTATGTACGCATATATATAAATATATATAATATGTGTGTGTGTGTGTGTGTGTGTGTGTGTGTCGTGTGTGTGTGTGTATAGATATATCTCAATATATATATATGTGTGTATGTGTATGTGTGTGTGTATATAGATATATCTCAATATATATATATGTGTGTATGTGTGTGTGTGTGCTTGAGTGTACGCGACATGTATATCTATATAATATATATATATATATATATGTGTGTGTGTGTGTGT